TATATATATATATATATATATATATATATACCCAGACTACCCTATATCTAGTAATCTCCCGACAATTCACGAAGGTACAAGATATTTCCAGAAAGCTGGGGGCATGACACTAGTCACGTGACCTCGCTGACGCAACACCATGTTATGAGTCTGAAATACTATTAGAAACATTAAGTCTCTAAAATCAGCCTTATCATGCAAAAACCTACAAAGATTGCTTATAGGTAGTCTATTAATTCCAGTGAACTTTCTTGAAACTATTGTTAGAACTTCATATAAATTTCAATGTGCAAACCTAAAAGTTCCTACAGTTTATACACATGAAAAAGAGGTTTCAAAATCTTAATTACCTGGATAATTTTCTTGATTTTCTGTTCCACTGAATAATTTTCTTCTTATTTTCCTCTTTTTGGGTTCAGGAATTCCGTCACAGTTACTTTTCTCACAGAAGTTTGGAAAGTCAAATTGCTACAAATAATACACAATAAAAAATAACAGTTGTCATTAAATTAAAAGGATATTCAAATATCAGTAATGAATTTTAAATTGCAATTCAATTGAAGCAACTGAAAAAAGAAAACAGAATTGTATAAAGTATACATTCAATTAGTGAATTTCAATTGATTTTCACACAAATTTAAAGAGTTAAAGACAAAAAGTGTAAAGTCACTAAAGTTAAGTAAATATTAAAAACTGTAAATTTCTTCAGACACTTCTTTAGGGGGGAAAAATTAGAAAATTAAATGCAACTTTTGAAATGCAGCTTGCTAAGCAAACCAAGTAAAATACAACAACTGTAAAAAGTGAGTATTAAAAAAAATGTTAGGTTAGTTTTTAGTTCCTTTAGTAAATTCATTACTAAAGACCTATTAGAAATAATATGTATTAAGTTTCCTGAAGGAATGATATGGAGTCATTAAATGCCTATTTAATATTCAATGTAAGCAGTAAATTGGCAAAAAATGTACTAAGTTTACTGAAAAAGTGTTAAGGAATTGTTTAAATGTCCATTTATTAGGCAATGTAAGCAGTTCATGGGTACTGAATAAATTTAATAAATGTGTGATAACTATTTTTTGATAGTATACTTATAGTATACTCTCGTGATAACTAATAATTAAATTTATTTAAGAAAAAGTCTCAACATATCATAACTATCTAGTATTTGTTTAGCATACAGTTCTAAAACTTTAAAGTTTTCATTCATCATGTTCTGTATTCATGAAATCAGCATTTAAGTAGACTGCTACTAATTTAAAAAGTTAACATTTTCCTAATCTGAAAATGTATTTCCGATAGCACAAAATAGCTCTTCTTGATTAGAACCAGTGTTCCCTCTAAGCTGCACAGTCACACAACAACCAATCAAATGCTGCACACTTCATTATTCCAGCCATGAACATCCTTAGTAATGATGAGGAGTCTCAACACATTGATGGCAGTGAATAGGCCTAAATAACCAACTGGTAGCATTGCAAAGTGGCCTAATGATCCAATAGGGTTGATGGGCTAGAAATACCTCCCACCCATAAAAAAATCTGGTAGAGCATATCCACATGTTGCCTTGATACCGGTGCACATGAAAAAATTCACTCAACACATTGGTTGATAAAATTAGAGGGAACATTTATTAGTACTGCCCCTATTGGCACAAATTTTTAATGCTCGCCACTAGCCTTACACCTCCCACTTCTGCATATCCACATGTAAATGAATATACAGCAGTTCTCCACCAATAGAAGCATGACACTACCCCTATTGTAACCAATGTCCTCTCCACATTTGCACTCGCTAATCACTTTGATATTGGTTAGAAGATCTACACTACATACCACTGTAAGTGGGGAGACTGGGTGGTAAATGAGAGATGAGGTAAGTATCTATCAGAAATACATTTCAGTTTAGGAAAGTGGTAACTTCAGATACGATATCTTACCTCCACTCACAAAATAGCTGAACTGGTGCAGGGCTGGTGAAAAAGATTCCCCTTTAGGAAGCACCCAAAGAGAGAGACCAGGAGGTGTGGAAACAAAAAAGAAAATATCACATCTCAGCAGGAGACAGCACCACATTTGATCCAGTTATACTCTTTGCTCTTTTATGACTATGTTGCAAACAGAAAAGGTGGAAAAACATGAAGGAATCCCATAATACACATTACTAATTAATGGGACCCCCTAGGAGGTGTCAAGTGGCTACGGTATGACAGACTGTAGTGGTAGTTTGACTTCAACACCTAGCAGTATCTGGAATTGTACATCAGGTCCATGGTAGGCAGAGGATCAGCTACCTCTTCATATGTAAATGGGAATTGGTAGGAAAGACAAGCTTCTGCACCAAAATCTGTCTTCACTTTCGCACATTTCCAACCCAACCAACACCTGATCCACCACGAACTGATATCCAGTGGATGGTAGGAAGGAGGAAAGCCCCAGTGGGATTACATCTCCAGTCCAAAACCTGACAGCATAGGGTATTCTTCCAGTCCACAGTAGGAGCAGGGATACTGGCCAGAACACATGGGAGGGCTTACGTAGCTGGACCATGTACAACCAACACCTGACCCCTGGGAACAACATCCAGGGGATGGTAGGTAGGAAGAACATTTTAGCCTGAGGGGTAAAATACAATATATATATATATATATATTCATAACATGGCAGAGTGCTTCAATCAAAACCTCACGGTATTTGGAATTGTACATCAGGTATGTGGTAGGAAGGGCATCATGCTATTGACACATGATTCTAACTGTGATTGGGCCATCTCCAACCAACACCAGACCCACCCGGAAAGTACATCCGAAGAATGGTAGTAAGGAGGAATGCCATGGCTACAACCAAAACCTGGCAGCATCTGGAATTGTACATCAGGTCCGTGGAAGGAAGTACTATATACCATCAACACCCACAGAATGCTACCACCCTTCTCTCAACTGAGTGGTATGATGCATAACTCACAAAGGCAGGCCTCCATGGTCCACCACTCCAGCAGCTAGGAACTGGTAAGTGGCAAGGACTCCCATACTCTACAATAAGAAAAGAGAGAAAAATGCATTGGAGAGTCCAGAGGAATACACCACCAGAGACAGTTCAATGGGTGACTGCAATACCCTATTTTGAAAAGCAGAACTACCATGTCGATGGAGTCGATCAACCAACACCCGGTGGCATTTGGAATTGTATGCCTGGTCCACAGTAGAAAGTCTCTATGCCACAGAGCATCAGAGATGAGCAGCAATCTTTGTCTGCTTAACTCATGTTAGTCCACGAGGGTATGGTCTGGGACAAACATATTTACGAAGCAAAAGATCACGAGAGAGAACTACTAGCAGTCCTACAGAACACCCCATCTCCACAGTGTGCTAAATCTAATCCTGAGAAGTAATTGCTTCAGCATAGATGACAATTGAATGGAGATCCACAACCAACACCTGGCAGCATCTGGAACTGTACATCAGGTCCATGGTAGGAAAAACTACAACATAATTGAAATCAAGCATGGTCATAGGATGGACAGTGCGGATTAAAAAAAATATATACATATACACCTTCTCAGGCACCATTCGTCACAGAGTAGGATCCATGATATACTAACAAAAAACCTCCTGTATATAAAGAAATAACAAATACATAGTAAAGGAAAACGTTGACAAGTTTGCAAGCAAAAGCAAGCATATCTGTTCAGTACTACTGCCCATTCTGAAGTTATTAATGAGTGCAAATATGGAGAGGGTGCTGGTTACGATAGGGGTAGTGTCATGCTCCTCTTGGTGGAGAGCTGCTGCATAATCATTTACATGTAGATATGTAGAAGTGGGAGGTGGAAGGCTAATGGCAAGTGTTGAAAATCTAGAATGATAGAGAGCAGTACTAATCGAGCAAAGCTATTTTGTGAGAGGAGGTAAGATATAGTATTGGAAACAGATTGTTCTCACAAACTGTGCCAAGCACTCAAAGCTAAGGTCTATTCTTCATGTCTTGTAGTGGAGAAAAATTCAACTTCATTAATTCCTCAGAATATCAGTTTTCTAATTACCATAACTTACCAATTCATACATTCAAGGACTCTAGTGTAGAGTAACTAAACTATTAATTTTCTAAATTATCATGTCAGTGGCCCTTGTTCCTTACATGCATAGAAAAATATGTAAGCTTCAATTCATAAAACAAAATACAATTCACTTATTTATTCTGTTTTGTGGTGCACATACTCTCATCCAGGAGTCCAGAAAAAGATCTGGAATGGCTCTTCAGAACACAGTAATTTTTAAACATAATTTTATTTAAAATCAATAGTCTTCTATATTTATGAAATATGTGATAACTTCATAAGAGTATGTGCAAATACTGCTATTAGGTTAAATTAAGGTCCATTAGGACCTTGTTCACATTAATTGATAGTGTCTACAAAGTTCAAACACTTGAGAACAACCGCAGCAGTGGAAAATATGTACGCTTCACGAGTATGTCACAATATCGCATTTTCTTCCCAAAAAGTCAAACTAATATACTTCCAAATGCTATCAACCTATAAATTCTTAAGATTATCCTAGCTGTACAATTATACTGTTGTGTCAGCGAGGTCACGTGACTAGTATCATGCCACCTCCTTCTAGAAATATCCTGTTCCTTCATGAATGCTCCAGCTTTTACTAGATATGTGTTAGTCTTGTACATATAAGACGGTCACAACGTGACGGAATGGCATGTGTAATTGAACTGAGTATTGTTGAAGTCAAGCACGTGAGACGTTCGTTGAGAATTATAGTGTTTGTTATAGAGCGACTGTTGAAATTAAGTGTATCGGTAAAGTTATATTCAGAAAGAATAAACCAGTTTTATTTAAGAAAGCACTTGTGTCGCCAAAGTTTCGTCGGAACGAATTTACGGAAAATTAACGAACGAACGGAGAAGTAACAAATTGGTGTCAGAGAGTGGGATAAAAAAAAAAGCAAACGAGAAGCGGCAAATCAAACTGCAGTTTAGCTGATTTGATGGCAGCAATACAAGAGCAGCAAAAGAAACAAGAAGAATGAGAAAATAAACAAGAAGAGAGACAACAGCAGTTGCAAGAAAACCTGCAACAGTGGCAGCTAGAACAGCAAAATAAACAAGAGAGATTACAGCAGTTGTTGGAGGAAAAAGAAAGGAAACAAGAAGAACGAGAAAAGAAACAAGAAGAGAGGTTACAACAGTTGTTGGAGGAAAAGAAAGAAACAAGAAGAGAGACAACAGCAGTTGCAAGAAAACCTGCAACAGTGGCAGCTCGAACAGCAAAATAAACAAGATAAACTACAGCAGTTGTTGGAGGAGAAAGAGCATAAACAAGAAGAGAGACTACAGCAGTGGCAACTGGAACAAGAAAGGAAACAAGAAGTACAAATGGAAAACATTAGTAAATTTAAAAGCGAATTAGATACATTAAAGGATGATTTATTGTCTTTTACACATGGAGGATACATTAAC